CATTTCTTTGCGATCGTCTTTTTCCTCTCCGCCGTCTTTACTTTCGTTTTCAATCGTTGAGTGTGTAAGCTCGTACTGTTGAAATCTCAACAATTAGTAGGTTGCTTGAGTCGAATAAGATGCCAAGTATTCTTTGTCACAAAACGGTATTTGTAATCTGCTTCCGTGTATTTCCAGAGAGGGATGTCAGGCCTTGATGTCATCACCCGTTGTACCTTGTCAATAGCTTCTTCTATTTGGTTGAGATAATCAATTATCGGATCAACGCTTCTGCCACTGTGGCTGTTATAATTTTTGTAGTTAAGATTAATCAAATCTACTCTTTGATTTTTTCTCCCATTAATCAAGTTCATCACAGATTCACAATATTGATCTCAATCTCTCACACATGAAGCTGTCAAGAAGAAAAAGAAACAAAAATTGACATGAATATTGCTTTTATTAATGTCTAATGATCATATATCTATTAGCAAATAAAATTCCTACTACTAATCACGTGAAGTGAATACAAAAAATGTTTCATTCAAACTCTGACTTCAAGGTGTTCAATCCTCAAAGTTCCCGGCCCTGCAACGGTGTAAAATTAGTGGTTGACCCCATTTTTGATGTGGAAAATGAAAGGAAGACCAAAGAAATTTTGTGTAACCATAGCTAGAAATGAACACAATTGGATGTCAATTGGAGACGAATCAGAGATGTTTAGAATCACTCGTTTCTCATCCATATCTCTCTTGTCATCTTCCCACATGAATTATTTAACATGGACCCCGTTTTTATTTATTTATAGATCAGACCCTGAATAAAAGTTTTTTAAAACACATTTGAAAAGGAAGCTATATATTTTCAGCTTTGACTCGGTCATAGATCTTTTTCTTCTCCCGAATCTCGAACGTAAGCTATGGTGTCAAAATTGAGATCTCTAATAAAATTGAGATCAGGTGTTACATTTTTCAAATTCAAGAACAAACGCAACTTATGCAAGAATCGTTCTCAGCATCCCCACCAACACCAGTTGGTTGGTTTTTTCTAAATGGCCAACTTCACTAAAGAA